CGAGCATCAAATTCTGCTGTTTGGCATATGAGATTTATGGTTTACTTCAGATATAGTTTCTGATTACTATGGTTTTTTTATGATACAAATTTGTGAATTACTTTTCTAAAGTTTTGTTCTTGTTTCTGTGATGTGAACCAGGACTTGGGAGGCTGATTTTTGTTTATTTTAGTCTCTTGAAAGGTATATATTTATTTCATTGTAGTGCTATTAGTCAGTAGTTGTTGAAAATAAATTTGTATTTCTGATTTTATGTTTTATTTTTCAGATTATAGACATCTTCAAAGTGGGAAATAAAAACGAAAACTTTGGTCAGGTTGTATCTTTCTTTGCTTAGCTTTTATAACTAGATTTATTGATTTTTTTCTTTGCTTAGCTTTTATAACTAGATTTGCTGATTTTTAAACATGTTTCCCCGAAAACAACCATCGGGTGCTCAAAATAGAAAACGAAAAAGAAAAGAATAAGAAGAGGCTAATCAATTAAGAGGGTCTTTGAATAAATATTTTGTTAGAAATCAAAATTCTAATGATCCGGTTAATAATTTTAATGTTCCACCTAGTACTTCCAATGATTCGGTTGATATTTCCAATGATTTTGAAAAAATGATTTTTTTGATAAAGATAAACCAAGTGATTTTAATATTTTTGATCCTAGAGTATGGGATGATTTAGATTCAAAATGAAAGATTTACTAATAGAAAAAGGGCCAAATAGAGAAGTTGATACCAACACAATTTTTCCAAAAGATTCACTTGGTAGATATTTTTCATTTGATTTTTTTATTCGGAAATTAAGAAATGATGATTCTTTTGATAGAAAATGGTTAGTGTATTCAAAAGAACTTGATAAAGTTTTTTGTTTTTGTTGTAAGTTGTTTAAAACCGTTCGAACTAAAAGTAGTTTAGCAACCGAAGGAATTAAAGATTGGAAGCATCTTAGTGAAACATTAAAACAACATGAAAATAGTTCCGATCATATGGATAATTTAAGAACTTGGAATGAAACGCGAATTAGGTTAAATAAAAACGAAACAATTGACAAAGAAATTCAAGAAATGATAAAAAAAAGATACCGAACATTGGAAAGAAGTTATGGTTAGAATTATTTCTGTTGTAAAATGTTTAGCAAAAAATAACTTAGCTTTTCGTGGTACAAATGAAAAAATTTATGAAAACTCAAATGACAATTTTTTAAGTGTAATTGAATCGATTGCGGAGTGAGATCCGGTAATGAAAGAACATTTTCGAATGATTCAAGACAAAGAAACACATAATCATTATCTTAGTCATAAAATTCAAAATGAATTAATTGAAATGTTAGCATCCGAGGTAAAATGTGCAATTATTAAAAAAATCAAAAAGGCAAAATATTTTTCTATAATTCTTGATTGCACTCCGGATGCTAGTCACCAAGAACAAATGACTTTGATTATAAGATGTGTAGATTTGGAAAGTGTTCCATTAAAAGTTGAAGAGTTTTTTTTTAGAGTTTTTAATTGTAGAAGATACATCCGGTCTAGGTCTTTTTAATGTTTTACAAGATGCCCTAAAATCTCTTGATTTGGACATTAATTATGTTCGTGGTCAAGGGTATGATAATGGGGCAAATATGAAAAGTAAACACCAAGGTGTTCAAAAACGATTGCTTGATATAAATAAAAGATGGAGTGTTTTACTTGAGTTTATTGATGATCTAACACTTAAATCATTATCAGCTACTCGTTGGGAAATTCATATTGAATGTGTTAAAGCAATAAAAACACAATTTTATCAAATAAGAAAAACTTTAAAAAAAATTATCTAAAATAAGTGATAATGGACAAGTGTGTAGAGATGCTGATTCACTAGTAAATGGTGAATTTTCTAGTTTTGAATTTATTTTAAGTTTAGTTATATGGTATGATATTTTGTACAAAATTAATTTGGTAAGCAAAAAGTTACAATCCAAGGAAATGCTTTTTGATGTTGCTGTAAAAAATTTAGAGGGGTTAATTAATTATTTTGAAGGATATAGAGAAAGTGGGTTTGACTTTGCTATTAGTGAAGCAAAAGAAATAGCAAATAGTGTTAAAGTTAAACCCGAATTTCCTCAAAAACGCAATAAAAAAAGAAAAAAAACATTTTGATGAAATTCCAAATACCGAAAGAGAACACCAATCTTCTCAAGAAGGATTTAAAAGGGATTATTTTTTTTTATTCTTGTTGATATGACTCTTGCTCAATTGAAAAGTAGATTTGAACAAATGCAATATTTTGAATCGATATTTGGTTTTTTGTTTGACGGTTCCAAATTAGTTTCTTTAGTTGATGATGAATTAAAGAAATGTTGTTTAAATCTTGAGTCCAATTTGAAAAATGGTGAAGATTATGATATTGATGGAGATGGTTTATTCATTGAGTTAAAATTTTTGCAGAAAATGTTGCCGGATGAAGCTTACAAAAGTTGAAGTCCTTGGACATCTATTAAAATAATGGAGTATGCAAGAAGAATGGATATGTTCCCTAATGTGTTGGATGCATATAGGATATTATTGACGGTGCCGGTTACGGTTGCTTCCGCGGAAAGAAGTTTTTCAAAATTGAAGCTTTTGAAATCGTATCTCCGAAGTACCATGACTCAAGAAAGATTGAATGGATTAGCAATTTTAAGTATTGAAAGTGATTTTTTAAAAAATATTGATTATTGTAAAAATAAGAGATGTTTTCGCTTCAAAAACTGCGCGAAGACATCGTTTTAGGTATTTTTTGTATATTTTGTTTGTATTATTTGTTTGATTATAAAAATTACTGCATTTCTTATATTAGAAATTACTGCATTTGTTTGATTATATGTTTTTGTTATTGTACGGTACACATATAAGGGCATAATTTTTTTAACTCGCCCCGGGTAGTAAAAAACAATGGACCGGCCCCGGGAGTGAAGAGATCAACAACAATGACTCCACCAGATAAAATGCTCAGGTTGCCATGGACATCTATCATGAGTTCGCCATATCTATCTGTGATCAGATTATTTCAGTTTGCTACCCAAACTGGGTTATATCTGTTGTACAAATTATCATATTCACCATAGTTTCTTGTTATTAAGGGCTTGTAGCATATCCCTAAATAAGGGCTTATGCTAGTGCCAAAGTTAAAGAACTTCAAACTAAAGACCTTGTTTGACGAAACTAATTCATCATCCCAGTCCGTGAGATGTTTCCCTTGTTGTAAGGTATTTGTTTTTTATCAGCAACAAGGATTGCTGAAAAAATAGAAAGATGAAGTGTGGGTGAGTATGAGGAATATACGTCATTTTTTTTTCAAAGAAGAAGTGGACTAAAAAGACGGGATTTTGGTTGGACAGAAAAGCTCTAACATTAAGTGATTATTATCATCAATACTCTTAAGACACTTTTCTTGACTTAACCTTCCACAACTCCTGTTTAATTACCTAATGCTGTGTTTGGCGCGCCACAACTAGCTGATAAGCTAGCTTATTTTTCGAGCTTTTTTATGTTGTCGTGTTTGGCAAGCCAAAAAGTAGCTTATAAGCTAGCTTTTTGAAAAGCTACTTAGACTAGCTTTTTAGGAGCTTTTTCAAAATATTCCAAATACACCCCTTAATTAATTATAGAAACACATACTTCTACATGTCCTTTTATGTAATTTTATATATTTCAGCTAGCTTTTCAGCTAGTTTTACCAAATGTTATTTTTTATCAGCTAACTTTTCAGCTATCAGCTAGCTTTTTATTTAACAGCTAGCTTTTCAGCTATCAGTTAGCTTTTCAGCTAACAGCTAGCTTTTCAGCTAGTACGCCAAACATAGCCTAAGACTTAGTCAACTGAAGTAGACATCCCTTTAGTGTTGATGTGATTAGAGCCCTGTTTTTCAAAGCTCCCATAGTCTTCGCCCTTCTGCCCCATTCTTCACGGTTTAATTATATCGGACAATAGCTCTTATCTCTTTGGTCTTTCTTTTATAATCATGAAGTTTAATTATTTATAATATAAAAATGCACCAATTACTCGGGTGGATCAATGTTGATTAATTACATGCTGCGCCCCACCTCAATAGCATCAGTCAGTCACAATTTGCCTACTTTTCATTTAACCCCCTAAAGTCTGTAAAACATTTAATTTACATCTTCTATTTTTAAATTTTATTTTATACAAAACTCATTAAAGGTCTTCAAGATGGTTGAAATAACCTGTATAAAATATAAACTGCATCAAACTGGATCGAGACCGGATTGCATCGGGCCATATTAGAAATATGGGGTAAGAAATAACACTTGTAAATTCTAAGAATTGTGTAATCACTTTGAGATTGAAGTATTTGGATGATATCTCTAATCTTCAAAAACAGAAGAAGAGAATGAGAATATGTTTTCGTAAGTACCAAAATTCTAACCAAAATATGGTAAATATTTCTCTTGTCTGAAAACTGTCTTAACTGGCACAAGATAGTTTTCTGTCCCAAAACTGTCTTCAACAATAAAAAAATTGTAACAAAAACAGGAATTTTAATAAGAATAATAACAAAGTCAAAAACAGGGTTCATTTTCAATGATTCTATCCCAGGCAGGAGCTCTGCCCCTTGGACCCCGCTCCTAGGGGCGCTCCCCACGGACATCCGTTCGTTTAGGGGTTTCATCCATAAATGACAGTCTACTTTGAATCTTGAATAAAATTAAATAAGTGTGCATTCCGCACCTTCGTTACTTGTTTAATATTCATCAAGATTGATTTTGGTCAACAAATCAATCCATTACACTTAAATACAGTTAATAAAACAATTCACCAACAAGCTATACTACTTATATTCGGCTGTTGGTGCAATTACGTTATCAAGTCACTCTTAAATATAATTACGCAGGTTCATCAACTATCTTATCATACTTAATTTGGTAGAAGTAACAAAGCAGACAAGTAGAGTAAGTCGGGTAACGAGTTTTGTTTATATTAGTATAACTTCTATAACACATCATACTCTAAATATTTATAAAACAATTAAAACAGTGAATAATGTGTTAGCAACCGACCATATTTCTTTCCATGCAGCGACTCTATAGATCGCGTGACAAATACATATATTACATATGTTTATTTCTGCCTCCTATCTTGCTACTAAAATCGAAATTGATTGCCCATTTACAGAGCCATTTCCCAAATTAGCATTTCTTACAGAATCTGCCTCATGCCTCTCAATGTAGAATGCTGGTCGTTTTGGCTCTGGTAAATGCATTTTTTCATTTGTGAGCATAGAAATAACTTCTAACATGGTAGGTCTGTCCATCGCATGTTCTTGAACACACAAGAGACCCACATGGATGCATGTCATTACTTCCTTGGGATTGCATGATTCTTCCAGTATCGGATCCATCAACTCCAAACTTCTGCCTTCGTTCCACTGTTCCCATGCCTGAATCAGGTTAAGCATTTATGCAACATTGTTTAAGATATATGTGGAGTCCAAGATTGTCTCTCCAAAAAAGCCCTTATGGAGAAAGGGAAGACTCAAACATATATACACTTATAGGACCATGTCACACTAATGTGGGATACACTAACACCCCCCACAGAGATGGGGGTTCGACGAGGATTAACATGGATTTGTTGGGGTCCTATATATCTTGGACTCCACATATATACTTTTTGGAAAGACAATCTTTGACTCTACCCACATGGATTAACACATCCATGTCTATCCACAATTCCACATCGAGCCTCCGTCTCTAAAGGGAAGTATTAGTTTATCTCACATCGATACGACACGGTCCTATAAGTGTCATTATATATTGGAGTTCCCCCTCTATCCATAAGGGCTCTTTTCTTTTGGAGAGACGATCTTGGACTCGACATATATTTTACACATTGAGTTAATGACTTTTCTTCTCAAACAATAAATAACTTGCCTCAAATGAAAAAAACCAGTCTTGGATAGGATTAACTTACTAGCCCAAGAAGGTTGAGTGGGTGTTCCACATCATAGCTACCATGATTCATCTTGTTGCTCACAATTTCAAGCAACAAAACACCAAAACCAAAGATATCTGTCTTGGTTGAAACCGTGCCTTTCATCATATACTCTGGCGGCATATAACCACTGGATATCACATCAAGCTTTATCATTTGTGAGTTTGTGATAGGAACTCCTACTGCAGACAAGACATGTTATGGACTCACCGTGTTCCAACGACTCTACTTGTATTTGCTTCAAACTCATTGATCTCAATTAATTTAGCCATACCAAAATCGGATATCTTCGGCTTCAGGTAGTCATCTAGCAATATGTTACTTGCTTTCAGATCTCTATGAATAACCCTCAACCTTGAAAATCTATGGAGATATAGGAGTCCTTGAGCAATGCCATCAATGATTACAAAGCGATTATTCCAATCCAGTAATCCTTTCTTCCTAGGATCTGTTAACAAATAAGTAGCAGCATCCAAAGAAATAACCAAGCTCATGTGCAAAATGTAGCAAATGTTAGATCTTACCAAATAGAAAGAAATCCAAGCTCTTATTTGTCAGGTACTCATACACAAGTATTTTCTCTTTCTTCTCAACGCAACACCCTATAAGCCTGACAAGATTAGTGTGTTGAAGTTTGGCGATGAGTTGGGTTTCATTCTCGAACTCCTTGACTCCTTGTTCAGAGCTTCTTGAAAGTCGTTTTACAGCAACCTTTTGCCCGTCAACTAAATTTCCCTGTGAAATCCAGCACCTGAGCTTTTATCTGGATTGTTTTTTAAAAGGGTGTCTTTGGAAGTTTACCTTATAAACTGCTCCAAACCCCCCCTCTCCTAGCTTATTAGTGTTTGAGAAATTGTCTGTAGCAGATGAGATGCTTTGAAAGGTGAAGTAATGCAGCTCAGTGTTCATCTTCTTATCTGTTCGTACATACCTCTGTAAGCGCTTCCGCTGACGCAGTAACAACTTTTGGATTTTCTTGGATACCCCTAATTTGTTAATAAAAAACAATTGATTACATAGGTAGAATGATTAGTATTGAAGTCAAAACTTTCTACCGTTGTACATCAACTCGAAGTTTAATTTGGGAATTATAGAGCATTTCTTTAAAAATATAGAGAAATTGTTGAAAGCCGGGAAGATAACAGAGTGAAAAGTTGAGGTTTATACCTCTAATATGAAGCTTCTTGCATACCAAGTAGCATGATAGGAGTGAAGCCAAAGATCCTATCCCGATGATGAACCAAATCCACTTCTTCTTTTCTGCATTTAAAAAATTCTCTTTTCTTATATGCCAATAACTGTTATGATCATTTGCAGCAAATGCTAGCGCACGCATATTTTATCTTTAAACGATAATTAATAAATAAACAATTCTTTGATTTGTTTTACAGTTATATTAATGGGCAAGATTAAATTTTCCCTACCCCTACAAAAGACATCCGAAATGAAACAAATGCGTAGGAGAGAAAAACAGATCATGTATAATAATAAAGGGCACTTAAATTTTGAATTTTGACCAACAGTAAAGCATCAATATTGTGAACTTACTAACCTCTCTCATAAACGATGGTGTAATATACTCAGAATGGGTAATTTTCAGCATGGGTTGGGTTGTATATCCTTTTGCCATAAGTCTTGCACTCTGACCTGTTTGTTGTTCCATAAGTATAGGCTATGCAAGAACAATTACTCCAGCATATTCTTTGGCAATCATATGAAGTCAAGTTATAGCTTTCATCATATTCATTTACGTCTCCATATATATATACGTTGCCAATTCTCCTCTCAAAGTAATAGCCTTTCCTACAACTTAACTCTTCAAACTCATATTCAGCACAACCAACAACACCGGTAGTACTGTACGTTGAGCTTGAGCGGCATTGGATGTAAACGTAAAGAGCTGAAGCCTTAAGCTGACCGCCTAAATGCATCCTCAGAGCTGGCGATGAATCGTATGTTTTTGTTAAATACATGAAGGATCGCTCGGTTTTCGTTAGATATATAGTAGAGGCGGACATCAGGGCAAGAATTTTGTAGAGCAGTGTTTTGAAATCCACCATTCTTCCAAGATCCACTCTTCCAGTGGATGTTCCCTCGCCTCAAGATCACCATTTGACCTGTGCCATTGGGGTCTACTGTGAACCTAAAGATCCATCGGCTGGAAGCTCGTGACTCCGCCAAGAAGTGAGTGACCATCGATGCCCAGTCTTGAGATTGATCCCCAGTTTCATCCCAGGAAGAAGGGTGTCTGTTGGGTAATCAAAGCTTTGCCATAAAACCCGTTTAACAGACCCATCTGGATATAGTTCTTGCAGTATGAAATTTCCATTATCCAACAGGGTACCACTTGCGTTGCGTGCTACTGGAGTAGGACTAACGAGATCAACTACACTGACTCCACTAGATAAAATGCTCAGCTTGCCATGGACATCTATCATGAGCTTGCCATACATATCTGTGATAGGATTGTTCCTGTTAGCCACCCAAACTGCCCTATCTTTCAGATCATATATATCATCACATCCTGCACAACATCCAGCGCAACGAATGGTTTTTGGATTCTTGTTGTACAAGCGATCATCATATCCACCAGAAATTTTGCTTCTTCGGGGGTTGTAGAATACCCCTAAATAAGGGCTTATGCTAGTGTCAAAGCTAAAGAACTTCAAAGTGAACACCTTATTTGATGAAATCAAATAGTCCCAGTCCTTGAGCTCTTGACCTTGTTTTAAGGTATCTGTTTCTGAGTAACAAGGACGGATTAAAAGATACCATGTTAAAGTGACGAAGATGATGAGGAATATACCATTGTCTGCCATCGACAAGATGTGATCTAGTTGAACACAGAAGTCCTAACATCAGTTGATTTAATCAGAGATATATCAAGGACATACGTTGACCACTCAGAGATATATCAAGGATAGACAAATTACATAAATGATCCTTGTGTTTTAACAAATGTCACAACTTTAGTTATTATTAATTTTTTTTTATGGATGTGATTTTTATGGTTTCTAAATCTTGTATGGTTGATCTATGTGGTTTCATATTATTTGCAAAATTGATCTAAAATTAATAGTGTACCCTTATTCAATTTTATTTTCCTTTATTTTTTTTTTTATAAAATTGTATTTAAAATAAATAAAAAAAATAAATCGAAACCCGCACTACACCAGCCCACCTCAACCCTACCTTAATACCATCACCACCTCCTCCCCCCTTCATCGTCTTCTTCTTCCTCATGTCTCTCTATCTAAGTATCTAACAATTCATCTCTTCAACAAATTAGTGATTAATGTCATTGAAATTAATCTCACCGCTTTTGTCCTTCTTCCTCGTATATGAATATGCCCCATGCCATATTCATCATCTTCTCCACCTTGCATCTTCCATCATACTGTAACGCCTGGTTCCAGTATGTATTTAAATTTATAATTTATTCTAATTTATACAACAACTCGATAAGTTGGGAGCCTCAAACTCGTCGAGTAGAGATTGTAAGGGCCGTGCATTTAAGTGACCTACCCGACGACTTAGGAGGCCTCAACTCGACGAGTAGGATGAGGGAAATAAAACCCTAATTTCCAGGGTTTTGTAACCTATTTAAAGAACATAAACTCCCCTAAACAGCCCCTCATCAGCCTCCCTAAACCCTAAATCGTATTGTGAGCTCCTTGTTGGGAAACTAGAGGTTTTTGAGTGGATTTTTGTGTGTTCTTGTGCTTGGTGAAGGACTTGGAAGAGCTTGAAGGTCATCGAGCTTGAGGAGAGGCACTAGATCTGGGATCTCACCCATCTTTGGCAACATTTTGAGGTATACAGTCTCAAACTTGGTGCTTAATAGCTTAGAACTTTCTTGGTTTTGTTTTATGGATCTTTTAGACCCCATTGTTGGAACATGATAAACCCTCATAGTTGTGATGCTGAAAATTTCCATTCTCAGTGTTAATTGGTCCTTAGATTCATAAAAGGGGCCTGAAACCCGTTCACGCTCAAGAAAAGACCATGTCCATAGAAGTAGGTTACTATATCTCGAGTTTAGATCCATTTGAGGCATGCAAAGCCATCAAGTTGTCGACTTTACGAATGTATACAATGGAAACAACCTAGATCTATATTTTGGAACCTTAGATATGAGGAAAGGGCTTAATAGATTAAGAACTATGAAGAAATCGGCGAGTTCGTAAGAGAGCTCGGCGAGTTGGTTCGGGGATGTCCCGATTCTGTGAAAAAGAGAAGCTCGGCGAGTTAAAGGGGAACTCGACGAGTTGGATTGCGATTTCATGATCACTGTGATTCATGGGAACTCGGCGAGTTGAAGGGAAAACTCAACAAGTTGAGTCAACTCGGAGCGTTGACTTTGACTTTGACTTTGACCATAGTTGACCCTAAAAGGGTTATGAGCATGAAATGGTATCTAAGGGGTTGTTTTGGTTCAGGGAGTGAGTAGAGCTGATTTCGGGCAGATACGTTTCAGCTATCATCCGACATTTGAGGTGAGTTTCCTCCTGGTTTGAGTGGGTCGAAGGTACCAATGTCGGCCCGTGTATGTTATGTGTGCTGATTAGTAGCTATGTATGGGCAGGGCCCGTATCTTAGCATTATTTGAGTATTGATATGGAATGGATTGGTAGATTTGGTAATACTTTTTGTCTGTGTGATACTTGTATGTGTTTCTTAGTTAGCTGAGTGTGGGCGAGGCCCGAGTCTCACTAGTATTCGAGTGTGGACAGGGACCGTATCTCTAGTTAACCGAGTGTGGGTGGGGCCCGTAACTCCTAGATAGCTGAGTGTGGGCGGGGCATGTATCTCACTACGTCTGGGCGGGGCCCGTATTTCATAAGGTGGGGCCCGTTAGCCGAGTGTGGGCGAGGCCCGTATCTCCTAGTTGCATGTTATGTGTATGGTATGTGGTAGTTTGGGGAGACTCACTAAGCTTCGTGCTTACAGTTTTCAGTTTTGGTTTCAAGTACTTCCGGTAGCAAAGGGAAGAGCTCTGGATGACTGCATTACACACACCATGATGTTTAGCCTGGGATGTTACTCTGATATATTTGACATGTGTTTTGATATGGATATATCAATTATGATGTTTTGAGATACTATGGTTTCTGTTTTGATAAGATGATATTAATAACTATGGTTTATTTAATGATTTAAAAATGAAATTTTTGGTCATGATTTTTAGGACGTTACAAGTTGGTATCAGAGCCTTGGTTTGAGGGATTCAGGCACACTCTCGGGTGTGTCAGAACTCAAACTGAGGACATGGTATGAAAATTTTCAAAACAAAAACATTTTTATAAAAATGATTTTGAGAAGAGAAGGGTGTGGTGCATGCAATCAGTCGAGCTCAAGTAAGTTCTCCTAAATTACTCATACACGTTTATGTTATGATATGAATTGTGAATATGTGAGTTGCATGCTAGATTAGGGCTAAGGATCTAGGAATGATGCCTTGTATGTCTACTGTATGACCTTATTGAATTACATGCTAGTACTGATTAGTCAGTGATATGATGGCCTGATTATGATATGCTTGGTTTTGTTTACTCAATGCCCGAATGCTGCTTGCTTTGTCCTTTTAGGAGTTCTAGTTATCTTTAACTTACTAGTAACCGAATATGTTAAGTTACATATTATGAGGACTAAATAATTTCAGAAGGTTAGGTTTAGCCTTATTTCGCAACTCTTGTTTGAGTCTAACCGTTGTAGGGAGAGACCTCTCATTCGAAGAATTATCTGGTCTTAGTAATATGCAATGGTATTCGCGAGCTAGTAAGGGAAAGGTAGCATGGACTTCTTATACAACTGATGGCGGAGAGTGGGTCGGAGATGTTGGATTAGGTGTCTAAGCCCATAACTATTATTGGCATGTACTCGACCCGAGAGTAGCATGGTCCATTTGGGTTGCATAACACCAGGATAATTTGTTAGGATGGACTCTTGAGAGAAGGTTATATATGATTTATTAATATATTATAAGTTCTAATATATTAATATGAAATCATATGTTTTAGTTAGTATTGATCAATAATTAATTTGGAATTGATTTTGTGATCAAAAGAGACTAATTAAATCTATAGGGACTAATTATGGTAATTAGTTATATTTATATGTGTTGGGCTTATGATCCATGGTGGACCAAGTTTATGTATGGATACATAAAGAGTTGGGCCACATGAACCATGGATCATAAAACCCATGGGTATGGATTTGGGTTATACCCATGACCCTTGGAATCCAACATATAAATATGTACTCCTTAGCCAAAAAACGCCTACACACATGTACTTGGAGTTCATGGAGGTTTTTGGTGCATAGAGATTCTCTCTCAAGAGCCACCTTTGTCCTAGGTGAGTTGTGAGCCATTTGAGGTATTCATACTTTTGGTGCTAAGCTCTTAAGGCCAAATACATCAAGACTTCAGGCTACATATAAGGTATGTTACCCTAACTAGTATCTTGTATGGTATATGTCAATTGCATGCTAGTTATAGGCTTAATACCTTGGAAACATCATTGCATGTATAATTAGTGAAAACATAGATCCAAGGTATTTAGGGTTGTATGTGCACCATAGGATGTTGTAGTACTAAAAACCCAACATGAGATTACCCTAAGGCAAGCCTAGGATGAGATTCAGCAATCTCATTATCTCACTTTCATAGGCTTTCAGAACATTATACAAAGCAGCAAAAGAATAACTGTCGAAACTCTGTTAAGTTTTGATCATCAACCTTATGTTCTTCCTTTCTTTCGGCAATCCCATCAAGAAAGTAAAATTGTACTCCAGACTCGAACGAGTGACACCATAATGAGTACACTTGAATATGAACCAGTTCTAGTGATCATAGTATAACTTGATGGTTTCGTTGTCTTTCTGCTTGAACTCACACAATTCCAATAGGAAATGCCCTGGTATTTCTCTTTCAACATATCCTAAATTTCCTTCGCGTTTTTGCAACTTCAAACATAATTGTAAACAACTCATGGAAGAGCACCATGCAGTTCTAGAAGACATTTCTTATCATTTGCTTTCTGTTTTTCTATTTGCATAGAAACATCAACAGAAGAACCACCGGTTCCGACTTGTTCAAGCCTTCTAGGATGAAAATTTCCACTTGTAATGCACCTCAAAAGATCTTCATCGATACCGTTGAGATAATTCTCCATTTGATCGGCCCATTGCTCATAATATTCATGTATGAGCATCAGAATTTTCGTCGATGATCCAAAAAAATGAGAAACGTTTGACGTCGTGTTCATGTTGAATTTCATCATTTCGTATGGACAAAAGTGATTTTTGATTTCAGAAAAGAGATCTAATAGAATAATCAATCAGAAATTGATCAGGAAACACTCGATCTAACAAATTGATTACAGATATGTCACACCCCAAACCAGACGGCAGAAACGTCCGGGGGGTGGATGACTTTATTTGTAGTATCACAACACATGCATCATAGTAATCAAAGTACAAACAACCATTGTATTTAAAAAGTGTAAGTATTTACATGTGTTCAATCATTGTATATTGAAACCAAAATAGTTATTCAAAAGAAGAAGACATGACTCAAAACAGCTCCATCTTCTCAAAAGCTCGGGGAGTACATGTCTACTGATTCCCTGAGAATACAAGTAATTTGAAAAGATAGTATCAACATAAAGTTGAGTGAGTGCGTAAGTATTTATGTTTGAAAGTATGTTTATGTTTCTTGAGTATGTAAACTGTTTCAGAAAATCCTATATTTTCTGTTGTATATGAAAAGTAGTTTTAATCTCATAAAATCGTTCCGTTTGTAAACCAATGTTCTGTA